AGATTCTAGAAACCCTCCAACAGAATTGATAAAATCTTGAGCTTGGGGGTTGACTTCGTTACCAAGGCATCCAAATCGTCGATCAAACAGCACATGGGCAACTGACTCAAAAGACCATTTGAATAACTCGTTATCGAGATTTTTGACTTCATATTCAGTGTCAGTTCCTGCAGATACYCGAATGGATTCAAGTCGAGTTACGAATTCGGTTATGATGTCGTTAAAGACAGGTATATGCTCGGCAACTTCTAGTGGTTTTAAGATACGTTTACTGACAGTGCTACGATATCTGTACCAMTCCTCTCCGTTGGCAAAGAAGACTCCAGGGTCTYTTTTCCKGAGTTCTCGATAGTAATTGAGAGCAGGGAYGTCAAAGCGTTGTGGGAATTTTGGTTCATTTCGGAGAACTCTTTCGACTTCAGCAGGATCAGCTAAGTTTACAACTATKAAACCAGGAAGGTGCATTTTGTAAATTAAACCATACTTTTCAACATCTAAAAATTGTCCTCGAAGCATYAATGTTCCAARAGGTTGTCTTGTAATTAACTTCAWTCCAATGATCTGCAGTGCCACTCCAAAACCAAACAAATTTTGAAGMCCGGGAAGGTCATCAATCGTCTTCAACTTGGRTTTATCGGCCGATAAAGTTGAAAGGGGACGAACTAACACTGTAGTTACTCGATGCAAGAGAAGATTTTGAAAGCGGGAAGCTCGGCAATATAGCTGTGCCATGTTGTACATTGTAAAATGTAATGACACAATCACTTGGCCAAAATATCACGTGATTAATTAAAATTCAGAAATCGCGTGACTTATTTTAGAATCACTTTGCGTGCCGAAAGAAAACACTCGCATCTAATTTCATGTTGATTTATTTCWTATCTGTCTTTTTCACATAAAAAGGATAACTTTAATTTGTATTTACACAAATCAATAACTCATTTGTTATCAGTGATTTATTGAAAGTTCTTTATTTAATTGATGACCTAATTGAATCTTTATTGTATTGATTAAAACACATAATAAACTACCAAGATTTCAATCAATTAAAATCTTCTGGTTCAATTGGCTTTTATGCAGTAAAATGAATTGAGACCTATTAAATGAGCATACTGACATTTATTCTAATGTACATAAATAACTTTAACTGATGGTTATAACAAAKTGTGATTCCTGTGAATGAATTTCACTCGTAGTGGTCTGTCTGGAGTTGTAATACTCTTCACAAATGGCTCCACAATCTCATTTTCATCGTACTGGAGTTTGTACATCTGCAGTAACCTTGTTGCCAATAGGTAGAGTTCTAATTCAGCTATACGTCGTCCAGCACACATTCTTGTACCAAATCCAAAAGGAATAGAAGCAAAAGCTTGAGTGGCAGCACCTATTTCTCTCTTTCCATCTTTCAGCCATCTCTCAGGTATAAAATCATTTGGATTAYTGAAATATTTTTTACTTCTTCCCATGTAGTAATGCAAAAATACAATTTGAGTTCCTTTTGGGATAATGTAGCCAAGGATCTCCATATCTGTAGGAATGACTCGGCCTGTTTGACTWACAATTGGATATAGCCGTAGTGTTTCCTTGAAGCAAGCCTTGAGGTAAGGCATTTTGACAAGGGTTTCAGCACTTGGAAGTTCATTATCCTGCAGTACCATTGATATTTCCTGGAAAACCTTTTCCTGTTTGTCTGGATTTTTYGCCATCATGTACAAAAACCACTGCATGCTATTGGCTGTTGTATCRATGGAAGCAAACAGCAAGTCAATCATGCAGCCCATTAAATCATCCCTTGATAGTTTKCGRTTGAACAAAAGGTACTGCATAAAACCAGCATTTTCTTCYGCACCATTTTCTTCATTTTCATTTTCTTCAACATTTCTTTTCTTCTCTAGTTCTTTGACAYTTTCATCAATAAACAGATCAGCATACTTATACATATTATCCAAATGGAAAACAAATTCCTTAAAGGTTTTGGTTTCATAAATTTTGTAGAACCAAACTGGTAGAAGGGCAACACTGGGCGCTGTAGAAAGAAGKCCYTCAACWGAGTCAATGAARCTTTGAGCATCTTGATTAACATTATTTTCAAGGCACCCAAGTCGTTTATCAAAAACAACGTGGCCAACTGACTCAAAAGCCCACCTAAAAAGATCGTTTTCAAGATCTTGTACTTCATGTTCAGTGTCAGTTCCTGCGGGTACTCGTGTGGAATCAAGTCGAGTTACGAACTCGGTTATGACATCGTTAAACACTGGTATATACTCCGCTACTTCTCGTGGTTTTAAGATACGTTTGCTGACGGTGCTGCGGTATCTGTACCAATCCTCTCCATTAGCAAAGAATACTCCAGGAACTGCTTTTTTGAGTTGGCGATAGTAATCAAGAACTGGAAAAGATATTTTTCTAGGATACTTGGGTTCGTTCCGTAAAACTCTTTCYATTTCCACAGGATCACCTAAGTTTACCCATGGCTTTTGTCCAGGAACAACAGTCTTGAAGATGGGTCCAAACGCATTTACACTTCTGGTCTGTAATTCAAGCATAATTGCYCCAAGAGGTTTCTTTGGAGGTAGTAGAAATGGGTTCGTAGCACGAAGTGCTTGAGTAACAATCTTCCCAATTCCAAGACCAAGTAAACTCTTCTTTCCCGGAAGSTCTTCTACAGTCTTCAGGGTGCTTTGTGTCCATGAAGAAGACGAGAATGGACATATTTCTCTKGGTCGAATGGGAAAGATTTTACGAAAATTCAAGTAGTTTCTTGTGAACAACATCGTCCATGCATGTCGTCCTTTCAATTCATTCTAGTTCGCACAATTCAGTTGGGACACAGGCAACCCAAGCTCAAAAAAAGATATTTCCAATGAAAATTTGCCAGCACAGAAGTCAAAAACAAAAAAACAAAACAAAAAAATTGCCAGCATAGAAATAAAAAAAAAATCTACTATTCATATTTTCATATTAAAAAAAAGTATTACCCCAAAAAATTCCCCTACCCCCCATCACTTTTCTAATGGGTCGTCCCTAATTGACTTCAACGGTCAAAATTTGATTATTTCTATAAATTTGTGTTTTTAAGAATAAAAATATAGACTTYCCATAGGAATGTGCATTCATGTTTATTGATTCACATAATAATACCAGCGCCTCATGGAACCATGAATCACCAAGTATCATAAGTATAAACTATACCGATTAAATATATACAATACAAATGCATGCAGTGTCCTTCAAAAATCAAACATTTATGTAATTGTATTCAGATAATAAAAAAATTAAAGGCTGATAAAATTGATAAAAATTCTAGATGACAGTGGCGTAATGACTATAGGGTTGTATCCACTTCCTTGTCACATTATTGTCAACCTACTGAAGGATTACTATGCGTAAAGGTGTATTTGATGGAGTAACTTAATTAAAAMTTCATATAATAAAAATAATAATTTGACATTAAAAATGTGTATAAATTGAATAATGAGTGCAGTTTCTGCCAAGGCAGGGCAGTCTATAATATCAGGAGTTTTCTGATTTACATTCTGTCCATGAATTTGACTCTGACAGGTCTATCTGGAATTGTTATTCCCCTCATGAATGGCTCAACAATTTCATTATTAGGATAMTGAAGTTTGTACTTCTGGACCAATCTTATTGCCAGTAGGTAGAGCTCTAACTCAGCTATACGTCGACCAGCACACATTCTTGTACCAAACCCAAATGGAATTG